ATATATATATATATATATATATATATATATATATATATATATATATATATATATATATATATATATATATATATATATATAGGCCTATATATATAAGGAAACACGATAGTCAGACGTTATGACCGAAGAGAAACATACATTTTATAAAGATTAACTTGAAAATAATCAATTTTAACTGTATCCATTTTATGCATATAATTGTCAGTAGTGTTAAACAGTGGGTAAAATTCCACGAATTTTGATTTGAGTGATTTTAGTTCACGTCGTTACTTGGGATTCGTTGCCCCAAAGCAACAGTGATTCGTTTGGTCTATGATATATCCCCTACTGCAACTATGATTTTGAAAAAAGTATCATGGTTTGTTCTAATTTTTGCTACCTATCATGCCTTGATGAATTAAGATCTTAAGGGCTCAGTGCACAGCCAGACTAGGGGCCGATAGCTATCTATGCATTGTCCAAATATAGTGATCACCCCTTGAGTCTCATGGTTTCATGTAGTACGATGATAGAAATAAAAAAAAAAAGACGCAATAAAATGGGGAACGAAAGACTTCTTCAAAGTTTGGCAATGATTCTTTTCTCTCCAACCATCTAGAATAAATAGACCAAAAAACAAGGTCTGCACCGTTTTGCCCCTAACTATAAGAAAGAAAACTCTGTAACGTTGCGGATCATTGTGCACAGCCCTTGCACATCGGCAATTAATTGGCTCATACATCACAGTACGCTGTCATAACGTCTTTGGCCATTTCGCCCTTATCCCTAAAGTTGAACAGTGAAATAACTACATATTTTCATCATTTGGTTTTATACTTTATACGTAATAGACGTATATTTTGTTTGTTTTAACATAACTTTTTATCATAGGTTATGATCGGCGGCAATCAATGGTTTTATTTGTTGTGCTAGGAATTGTACATTAAAAAAACCAACGGAATTTCCAATGACGCCACAGCTTTCTCTTTACATTACGTTTTAGACCAGCGGCTCTCAATCTGTGGGTCGTGACCCATTTGGGTGGTCGAAAGACCCTCCACAGGGGTTGCCTACGACCATCAGAAAACACACATACTCGACAGTTGTGAAGTAGCAACGAAAATAATGTTGGGGGTCGCCACAACTTGAGGAATTGTATTAAAGGGTCGAGGCACTAGGAAGTTTGAGAACCATTGTTTTAGACTGACAGATCGTGTGAAGCTCTTTGTCAGGTCAGCTTTGCTACCCCCCCCCCCTCTTTAATTCAAGATTAATGAGTGCATGGAATACTCCATCATCTTTTTTAATGCATTTCACCAGGCCAGCTCTAAGGCATATACCAGATATTACACACAGGCACTTATCATAAATGCATGAAACAATGTTCGTCCGTCTGACTGTGACTCATGCAAACTTGAGGGGTGGGGTGGGGGGATAAGAGGAGGGTGGAAG